ATTTTTCTCTCCCAAGCATGACTTAATTTTAGCATAAGAAAATATAGCATAATGCTGATAATCATGAGAGAGTGCCAAATAATCCTGTAAATCAAGAAGTTGGGAGTTGGGTGGCATGAGAAGAGTTGTTAAATGGTATAGGTAGAGTTGTAAAGAGATAAATGATTTGCATGACTGACGATGAGAATTGCTAGATAATCTTATTGTGTGACCTGGACAGAAAAAATTTTGCATGGGCGTAATAAAATTGCGTGTCTGTTTGGAGCACCTGAAAGTTGTGTACTGATTATTTGGCACTCTCTCGTGATTATCAGCATTATGCTACATTTTCCTATGCTAAAATTAAGTCATGCTTGGGAGAGAAAAATATTTATTGTAAAAATAAATTGGCATTGTCAGCTGGTGCTGTGCCTTTCTGTGAACTTGCTCTATTCTTGGATAATAAGAACATGATAAAGACTTCCTGCAATTTTAGGTTTAAGATGAATGCGACGCCAACTTCAATTCTTGAGCTAACCCCGTCTTTAGTTATGGTGTACAACATCCCTCTACTAACCTTGAATTGTGCCTCACAACAAAAGATGATTTCAGGTTGTACCTTTTGTATAAAGAAGGGGGATCACGTGGCTAAGTGGGTAAGACGCTAGCTCGCTAACCTGGAGGTCGGGTGTTCGATCCCTGCATTGGCCGAGAAAGTTCATCCAGATTTTCCGGCGTGGTTCTCCCTTGTCAGTGATGCAGGACGGAGGGGCTGACAAGGAAAGCTGTCTAGTCGTTCGTATGGGACGAAAAACCGAGGTCCCGTGTACACATTGGCGTGCACGTAAAAGATCCCTTGGCAGTTGGGATTCGATATAAGAGTAGGCCGTAGTGCCGCTGTCCGGGCAAAATTTCCCTCATAGCACACTGTAAGGCGTATGCCCGTCTTCATTAGCCCAGGTTAGGAGCAGAACAGTAGGACGTTAAACTCCATTTCATTTCATTCATTTGTATAATGAAGCTTCCATGCCAGTGCTCATTATCTACTTAGAAATTTTATTTGGCAGAGAGTTTAGAATCTTGCGAGGCAAATTTATCATAGGTTACCAAGCTCCATCCAGCTAATCTTGCCTTATTACTGCACTTCGTTAACCCAAAAGAACTAGAAGCTATTGCAGGGGCCACAGCTTTCAAAACCCATATTAATATTACTAACCTTCCAGAATTCCAACTCTATAACCATAAGTTCCATCTATTGTGGCCGATGATAACACCGATCATTTTATGCATCATTATAAACAGAAAAGGTCGCATTCAATTCTAGTACTTGAGGTTACATCGGGATCTAACTGTGTTACATTTCCAATAACTAACCTACCTCTCTGTCATTCTTACTACCAAATAATTCACCCTTCTACTATCGAGGACCTCTACCCCTCAATCACGCCATTACCTTCTATCACAGTAAAATGACCCATTTTTCAAGTGATCAATCTTATAACATCACAAGCACAACCCATCGCCAATAGGTTCCCAAACTCTTTCTATAATGCTTATCGATTGCGTTCTGTTCTAAAACAACAATGTTTTCAGGCGTATATCTTAGTAACCCACCAAGATTACGCATTTCCCATTACGGAAAGACAATTACCTTACTACCCACAGCTAATAAACGTCAAATAATCTAAGCCATCATAAGTTAGAATAAAGTACTGAGATTGATACTATACTCAGCCAAATTAAAAACTTGACACCGATGCATTTCAACAATTTTTTTTTCTGGTAAGTCAAATAAATTTTAAAGTGTTTCTAACGATAGTAAGTAGCCTTTAATTTCATAAAATTGTAAAGTCACGTGGATCCCGTGACTTTTGAGCATATAAAGATGAAAAACCCGAAAAACACGTGCAAACACAAACTCGTGAGGTCAATCGATGCAAGTTTGCTTAAACTGAACACGCACACGTAACTTGAACTGGAAAAACAAATTAAAATTGTTATTTTCATCTTTGTTAGAAAATGCCGCGCCTTTCAAATGTAGAACGTCTACGTGCTATAGGTAGGCTCTATGCTGGTCAGTCTGTGGTCACTGTTGCAAGAGCCTTTAATTGTTCACGCCAGACAATAATTAATCTTAGAATGAGAGTGCTTCAAACTGGAACTATTGCCGACCGCCCAAGGGCGGGAGCACCACGTGTGACGTCACTCCAGGAAGATCAAGCAATACGATTACGTCATCTTAGAAACAGATTTGTCACTGCAACCTCCACAAATAGAGAGATGTTTGGTGGAAGGGTAGCTGCACAAACTGTTCGAAATCGCTTGCAGGCTGCTGGTCTTCGAGCTCAAAGGCCCTAAAATGGACCAATATTGACACCTCTTCATCGCCGTAACCGACTTGTGTGGGCCACAAGACACATAAGATTTACTCAAAGACAGTGGAATTCGGTTGTCTTTAGGTACGAATCTCGATTCACTTTGAGATTTGCCGATGGCAGGGTCCGAGTGTACCGCAGACGAGGTGAACGTTACGCTCAAGTATGCGTCAGAGAAGTTGACCGATTTGGTGGCGGCAGCGTCATGGTTTAGGGTTCTTTTTGTACACATGGACGTTCTCCTCTTCTTGTTGTCCAAGGGAACTTAAATGCTGTCAAGTACAGGGATCAGATTTTGCAACCTGATCTTCTTCCGTTTATGCAGAGACATGGTCCTGGACTAACGTTTCAACAAGACAATGCTCGACCCCATACAGCAATTGCTACCCAGAATTTTTTAAGAAATGCCGGTGTCCCAAGTCCTGGATTGGCCGTCGCTTAGCCCCGACCTTAATCCTATTGAACACATCTGGGAAGAACTGGGTGGACGTGTTCGTCAGCAAGTGAATCCACCACTGACGTTGCAACATGCTCTTGCTGAGCAGTGGCGACGTCTTCCTCGGGTAGTGTTTACTAATGTTCTGAGATCCATGAGAAGACGTTGTGTGGCAGCACGAGACGCTAGAGGAGGCCACAACCGTTACTAAACACTTTATTCCGATTGTTCTCCAAGTCTGTGAATTTCATTTTGGGGGGTACTGTGACATCAAGAACGTTATCAATGTCAAGGACTTTCGGCGAGACGTATTCTTGCTTTCTGTTGATGTCAAGGTCGTCTGTGCACAACATAGCACTAAAATTGTTGCCTTAAACCAAATATTAAAAATCTAGTCCCAAAAATCCAGAGTTGAAATTCGATATAAGAGTAGAGTGCAGTGCCGCTGCACACTGTATGGCATATGTCCATCTTCATTAGCCCAATTGGAGTAGGACATTAATCCATATTCTATTACCTTTCATTTTTTCAATTCATACATGTTCGAGCTATGAGTCGAATTGAAATAGGCCTATAGTTTTGATCCAAACATATGTAGGTCAGTGTCTGTATTTCCAATAATTAGACGAGTATAGATTGTTTCATAGCCTACAATTAATAAAATTTAATTAATTGTTCTTATTGAAAAAGAGGAATGCCTTGAATATCTTTCAAATATTGAATACAATAATGTCATGCTTTGTGCAAGAGAACTTTTTTAATCATGAGAATAAATAAAACCAACAGTCTTTATTTTTACTCTGGTCTAATACATGTAGCTGGACCCAAATGTACCTATATCAAGATATTCAATAATAAATTATTTCATAATTATAATAATATTGAATATTTGTTTTTGTAGGCAGGTTTGGTAAATGTACATGTGCATTGTAGACTAGAAAGTGGGAAAAGACTGATGTTATCTTGTCTGAATTAAACTGGTTTATCAAGAATCTTGAACTTCCCATACCATTTGTCCCACAGATAATGGCAGTACTGCTACTTGTTACACAGAAAAATAATACACAGTTGTTATCTCAAATGAAGCAGCTGATAGTCAGTGATTGTTGGCAACGAAATCCAGATTGGCCACAGTGATTTAGGACTATGATATTTGTGTATATATTAGACATCAATATGGAGATGTGGCTGTCAACCTTATTATTCAAATAAGTAAATGTGAGGATAAGTTTATACGTGCAAGCAACAGTGTGACCTTCTTAATGAGATGTAGAAATAGTGACTTAATTCCCAAAGGCTTAATTGTTAAATCTCCAGTCAACTCAAATGCCGCTAAAAGATTATTAGATATGCCAGCAAATGTTTACTAAGAGAAAGGCTTCAGCACTACGGAGCGAAATTAATATTTTACTGTTCTATAAGTAGCATAAATGCTACAAACACCACAAATCCTAGATTTTGATAAGAAAATATTGAACATTAAGCTGACATTTACACATTACACCAGTTTTATATCGGTCTCATTGTCCTGAAACGTCTCAGGGTTCTAAATTTGACTTTAAACAAAAAGGGTTAGATATCCTTGAAATGTACTAAATAACTATTTAATGGAGAAAAATAACATTCCTAGTCGTAATTTAACCACACATTCCAATTACTAGCATTTAAATGTCAACACAGGTGCAATTAAAACACATCAATAAAAAGGGTGGGGTGGGGCATTTATAGCCTCTCTTAACGAAATGGCGGAGTGAGAAATGTCTAGAAAGACTGGAATATTGCTTTCTACATGAAGGAAATGCAAGAATTTAATGTTTCAAAGAAAAGTGGCAAAATTGAGCCAACTCCTGTTTTGAACATTTTGTACAAACCAATCTGCTGTACATTATTAACTTAGTGTTACCAATTTTTCAATTTTCTGTAGGAAAGCTGGAGCTATTTCTAAACGTGACAAACTTATAGATCCCATTTAAGTTATATTCGCAATGAAAATGGGGGCATTGTTTTAGACATTTTGACTCATTTGAGTAGTCATGAAAGGATTAATTTCTACATCGAAATGGGGGAATCTGGAGATTTTCTGTGAATATTCCCGACTTTTAGACAACATTTGGTGAAATTACAATTCTGTTTACTTTATTTGTGCTTTCTGAGGCTGAATAAGCCAAAACAAATTCTCCAAACTTTGATTTTTTTTGATTTTTTTTGATTTTTTTAGTTTTTCTGTAGCCAAAATATTTTATACATATTTTCTGAGAACTTAGTCTTCATATTTTCAAAACTAAGGCATATCAGCCACATCTTTGTCACACACAGGCAGGACACAGATCACTAATGATTTCCCCATTGACTTTAATATTAATTCTAGTCTCTTAGACCGGCTCTAACTTTTCCCAAATTTTCGTTGAGCAGAACGCTTTCTGCCACAGATGGAGCAACATGTGGCAACGTCTTGATCAAAAGCACGTACGAGGTTCACCATGGAAAACTTGAGATACACAAACTGGAAGTAAAGATCATTAAACATGCAATTTTCCGCCCCACATTTCAACCTAACCAACCGCTCAACTCTTGTATCCTTCCGCCTCAAAATCATGCATATTCACCAAAACCTGGCAGAAAATGTATTTTCAAACCCTTTTCTTCGATTCTACACCAAAAGGTCAACAAAAATCGCCATGCGAAAGGGGGAAAACGGAAAGGGAGAGAAAGACTAAAAATAACTTTCGCCCGGGTGACGGCGTAGAAATATTTGGTGAGCTGCGTCCATTTGTTTACAAGTACAGAAAGTAGTGAGCTGAACTCATGACCTTTGACGTTTAGATAACGTCATATGTGGATATCGTGGCTATGCACTGTGTCAGATTCACTTCCCTACAGGTAGAGTGGATCTGTCGTTCAGATTGGTGTGTTACGTTTCGGGGATTTTGTCTATGTGCGTTCAGGTAAATTCAACCTTTTATGCATTATATCTATATATCTGTATGTTGATGTAAAGAATTTTGCAATTCATGATGCCATTTCGTGTTTTCATTTTTTTCCCGTCAGCCATGTAGGCCTAATATTCATAAGAACTATAAACTTTACATGTATGTTTTATGGTACTAACTTCTTTAAATCAAAAATGCACAACATTTCATGGTTCGTACATAGATCCTTCCCAAGTATAATAATGAAAGTGGGGAAACGTGGTGACCCTTGAGACAAACGTCTCAACATACATGTACCAACACTTATTTTAGACATCTTTCCTTTCATAGATTCTTGACATCTTTCCTTTCATAAATTCTTGACTAAATGCTTTGGGTCCACTTAATTAGCCCTTCAAGTCTCTAATGAGAGCCAAAGTGGTAGAACGATGATGGAAAGGGATGTTCCACTAAAATGTACCAGGTTCGAATCCGCGAGTTTTACAATGCATCTAGACATTGCTAGCCTGGTCTGCAATTCCCAAATTTATAGCTACGTTAGCGTCCAATCAGAGGTTGTGACACAAACACACTCAAATCAAACATGGCGACCTCCACAGAAACCTTGACATTGAACGTACCTTGAACTCGATTATCACAGGTAGACATTTTAGCTGGAAAGCGCGAGACTTGAGGAATCTGATAGGCTCCCCAGCTGGGTCAGTATCCCCGCGAAATTAGTGCCGAAATGTGCAGGGTATTACGTGAAGGGTTTGGTATGATGTACGGAGTTAAAGCGAGATCAGTCCACCCCTGAGTGGAGTAATAGTTTTAGAAATCTACTCATTGTCTGTTTGAGGAAGTCACCTACCCCCCCCCCCCCCCCAAAAAAAATCGTCTATAGATGGGCAGTGCAAAAGGCCACGTTCCGTTCAGTGCTACACATTTTTCTGAATTGGTGTCCACACAGACAGGTGTTTTCTTGCAAGAAGGGTCATTCGTAAATGAGAGGCTGGTGTAGTAGAGTGGTTTTATTTATTTTATGGGTATTTTAATATGGTCACAATGCTAATGTAATCTTAGATAATATGTTACACATCACTGCCTCTTTAAACTATCCTGTTCTATACACTCTTTATTAAGGTTTCCAGTGAGTTTCAGTTCACCCAGCTCACTAGTAGTTTATTTCAACTTTGACCTGAGGTTTCCTTTGTTTTGCAACACCATTACTATGGTCATTCTTACTAATGATTTCATGAAGGTCAGAGAATATTTTCATTCTCTGTCATTCATAAGTTTAGTCTTTATTTAGTTTGATAGTTTTGATATTGGTTGAATCTTCTTCAATTTGATATAATCTAGTGCAGTTGTTTTAGTAAAGTTCCAGCATAGAGTTTACAGGTATGTTTTAACTTTTCATTTGTCTTTGTTAAAGTGGCGGCCATGTTAGTTTTTATTAGTAAAGTTTCAATAGAAGTTTAAGTTCATCTGGTATTGTTTAATGCATTCTGCAAATACATCTTATATATACGAAATGAAATGGGGTTTAACGTCCTACTGTTTTGCTCCGAACTGGGCTAATGAAGACGGGCATACGCCATACAGTGTGCTATGAGGGAAATTTTGCCCGGACAGCGGCACTACGGCCTACTCTTATATCGAATTCCAACTGTCAAGGGATCTTTTACGTGCACGCCAATGTGTACACGGGACCTCGGTCTTTTCGTCTCATCCGAATGACTAGACAGCTGTCCTTGTCAGGCCCTCCGTCCTGCATCTCTGACAAGGGGAAACCACGCCGGAAAATCTGGATGAACTTTCTCGGCCAATGCAGGGATCGAACACCCGACCTCCAGGCTAGCAAGCCAGCGTCTTACCCACTTAGCCACCGTGATCCCCCTCTTATATATACATATAGCCAGTAAGAGTAACGCTATTTAAAGCATTTCGCTTTAAATCTACATTTATTACTTTCACACAACTTATATATTTTATTACAGACATTGTAAGGTATTTCACCTTTTGACAAGTCTGGTTAGCCAGGAAACCCCTTTTCAGGGTAAGACGTTATATTTTAAAAGGGTAAGACGTTATATTTTATTAATTAGCTTTATTATAATTAAGAGCCTGCAAGTTTCTGCATATTTCATGCTGGTTAACAGGAGGTAGTTTCCTTTAAAAGTGTTGACATAAATTAAGTTTAATGAACACATTGATTTTATATGTTTTGATTGTATAATTTATATTGAAATTGTATACTTTCAGGGTTTTTTTTACTGGATATTTAATAAACTGTTATTACACTGAACCCTTGTGTGGTTGTGTTATTCGTAACTAGACCCCCTACAACATTTGGAGCCCGATAAGGGACTCGACAGTTGAAACCTAACAAGGTGTACAACGTTTGGAGTCCGGTAATGGTTAATGGTAAACAGAAAAAAACAGTACTGGTGTGAATTGATCAAACATAACAGTGAGCTCACACGCGTGCGCGTTCGCGAGATCTTCAAGTTGAATAGACAGTGGCAGTGCAGTGACATTAACTTTATTGTGTTGTGTATTAATTTCTGTGTTGTTTTATATGTGGACTATTATAAGGATATCTATATAAGGTTCGTTACAATTTATTTAATTTTCATATATATATATATATATATATATATATATATATATATATATATATATATATATATATGTATTGATATGTGAATTATATCCCTTTACAATAAGCTTTATTATATATTTATTTACTCAACTAAGTTTAGATTTATTAGGTAATTACTATATCAATTAGTATATGAAAATAATATTTTCGGCTAGGTATTCAGTAAACCTATATTATTTGCATTTAAGTGCATTTAGTGAAAATTAGAATATTTGAAATTTTGTGTCCATAAAACTTTAGCCATTTTGTTTACATTTTCAACTTCCTGTTGACATCAGATATACCCTTACAGTCTCATATAACAACTTTTGGTCTGCGAAAGAATTATTAGTGAGCAGAAATTCGCCCATGTATCTGTTACCACTTGTCACTTTAGTCAGTTATATAGGGGGATAACGCGTGTTTTCCTTTTGCGTTCGTAGCAATGATCTCTGTGATGAAATAATATTTGGAACGTGTTTAACCAATTCTATCACATATGTGATAATGACTGGCGCCAATAATGTCCTTTAAGGAAACAAGCCAGCAGTGAGGCTGAAATCCGAATATATAGATAACACAATTAATAGCACTTTTTTTTAAAAGTATCAAGCAATCAAACTGATTATCAACTATACACTAAGTTTCATCACTCTCTATCAGATAACCTACATTAGCTACTTCCTGTTCACCTACATTAATTTAGCAACTTCCTGTTTGCCCATTGCATTCACTTCCTGTAAGTTTGCATACATATTTAATTTTTGTTTAACAAAAATAATAAAAACATTCTACATTTACATTAGGAAATAAACATTAGTACATACTAAAATTAGTATTTGTTTTCAGAATTCATTCTTGCTTTTCAGAATTAGTATTTTTCGTTTTCAGACTTTGTAAATTTAACTTTGGTTTTTACTTTCAATTTGTGGATTTTGATTTTTGAATTTGTTACTTTGAAAATTTTCCGTGTTTGAAATTGTGTTTGAGTTCAAAGATTTTGGACTTTGCTTCTTCAGCGTTGACTTCTGACCAACTTCATTGCTTCAAGAACTACCTATTTGAATGGTCATCAATCTTTTCACAGAGTGATAATGATATAGGAAGCATAAGCCCGGTGAAACATGAGACTAACCTGACTGATAAGATTCCTTTCAAACAACCACATGGAAGAATACCACCTGGGACGTACGAAGAAGTGAAAGACAACCTTCAAGATTTGATGGAAGCAGGAATAATCAGGAAGAGTCATAGCCCTTACGCATCACCAATAGTGTTGGCAAGAAAAAAATATTCATCATTACGCATGTTGAATAAGAAGACTATACGTGATGCCTATGCTTTACCCCGCATCGAGGAGATGTTAGACAACTTAGCCGGTTCCAAATACTTTAGTGTTGTTGAAATGAAGAGCGTTTACCATCAGGTCAGCATTGAGGAAGCAGATATTCTTAAAACAGCTTTTACTGTCGGACCTCTAGGATTCTACGAGTACCAGAGACTTCCTTTTTGGGCTCACGAACGCACCGCCACATATCAACGCCATGTATCAACGCTTAATGCAAGATTGCCTTGGAGAACTTGATTGGAAGATCTGTGCTATTTTCATCGACGATCTTATCTTCAGTAAGACGTATGAGGAGTACCTGGACCGATTATCTAAAGTGTTTGAAAAGTTGAAAGAACATGGCATCAAGTTATCACCTAAGAAATGTGAGTTCTTTAGGGAGAAAGTGAAATATCTCGGCCATATTGTGTCTGAAGATGGTGTTTGCACAGACCCAAAGAAGACCGATAAAGTTGAATCTTGGCCAGCTCCTACCAATGTTGATGAACTTCGTAGATTCCTTGGATTTGTTGGATATTACCGAAGATTTATTAAGGATTTTTCAAAGATTGCCAAGCCTCTTAATGATCTGTTAGTTGGAGGTCCAACTAAAAAGAAGAGTGGGAGAAGAGTACAGGAGAAGGAAAAGAAAGGATGGAAATGGGAGAAAGAACAACAAGCAGCATTTGAGAAGTTAAGAACATCATTAGTTGAGCCACCAGTTTTGGCGTATGCTGATTTTTCGAAGCCATTTATTTTACATACAGATGCCAGTGGTTTAGGACTTGGAGCAGTACTCTACCAGGAACATAATGGCTTGGAGAAGGTGATTTCCTATGCAACCGGTCTGAGCGTAACTACCCAGCACACAAACTGGAATTTTTGGCATTAAAGTGGTATGTAACAGAGAAATTCCACCAATACCTATTCTACACTGATAACAACCCACTCACATACATCCTTACAACAGCAAAGTTGGATGCCACAGGACATCGGTGGTTAGCTGTCCTCACCAACTATAACTTCTCCATACGATACCGAGCTGGCAAGAAGAACATGGATGCTGACGCTTTGAGTCGGAATATGAAAGGCGATTTCATAGAAGTCAACCAGGGTGTGGTAGAAGCCATAAAGAACATCGACTTGGAGGATAGGTACATTCAGACTGTAAGCATGTCTCATCAAGTGGTACCAGATATTCCGAACATCACCACGCTTTTAGCAAGTTTCGCAGAGTGGCAGAAGAACCAACGTCAGAATCCCTTATTGTTTCAGTTGTGTCAACATATAGAGCATGGAAGACCAGCTAATCATACTCCTACATCTCCAGAAGAAGCTGCACTTTACCGTGAATTTGAACACTTCGTTCTCAAGTCTGGTATTGTATACAAACGTGCTACTGTGGCAGGAGAGGAAATACTTCAGCTGGTTTTACCCAAGGCTTATAGAAAGTTAGCCATGGAAGGGGTACACGACAAACTAGGACACCAAGACAGGGATCGTACTATCAGTTTGGCAAGAGAACGGTTTTATTGGCCCAAGATGACAGCGATGGTAGAAAGCTACATTCAGAATTGTCCACGCTGCATCAGAAGAAAGAGTTTACCATCTCCATGCCCCTTGATCAACATTACATCTAGTCAGCCACTTGAACTAGTCTTCATGGATTATATGTGCGTAGAAGAGTCGAAAGGAGGCTACGACAGTATCCTTGTTATCACCGACCATTTTACAAAGTATACCCAGGCAGTCCTAGTTCGAAACACCACCGCCAAGACAATAGCTAAAGTGTTTTTTGATTATTTCATTGTGCACTATGGGTTTCCTCAACGAATACACAGTGACCAAGGTCAACAGTTTGAAGGAAAAGTGATTAGAGAATTATGTCAGCTGACTGGGATGGAGAAATCTTGAACAACACCGTATCATCCACAAGGGAATGGCCAATGTGAGCGTTTCAATCGGACGCTGCTCAACACGTTAGGTACTCTACATCCTGAGCAGAAGTCTGATTGGAAGTCTTACGTTGCGCCGCTGATTCATGCCTACAATTGTACCAGACACTCTTCAACAGGGTATTCTCCGTATGAGCTAATGTTTAGTAGGAAGCCAACATTAGCTGTTGGTGTTATGCTCGGACTCGTACGGGATAAAGAGGCCACTATGGGCTATCATTCATACGTTGAATCCCTGGAGGACAGACTGGAACATGCGTATTTAACTGCCTCAGCCCTTGTGGATAACACGCACCAGAACCAAAGAGATAAGTACAACTTAAGAGCCAGAACAAACACCCTAGAGCCTGGCGATACAGTTTTGGTGCGGAGATTAACTTTCAAGGAAGGAAGACACAAGTTAGCCGGGAGGATAAACCTTATCAGATCATCAGACAACCCAACAAAGACATTCCAGTGTATCAGTTGATGGAAGTGGGAGGAAATAAAAAGAGGACTTTGCATCGTAACCATTTATTACCGATCAGCAGTCTTCCTGAGATAGAACCCGTCAGCAATCGACCAACACCCAAACCACGGAGAGTCCAACTACCACCAAAGGTGACAGAAGTTAGAGAACCGGAAGAGACAGAAAGTGAAGAGGATGAGCCTGTTTATCTAATGGAAAGTGCAGATTCCCTGCGCCCAGCTAGCCCGACAGAGACACAGGATAGAGAAGATGTAATGGAACCTGAGCTTGATAGTTTACATCAAGATGATGCAGATAGGCCTCAAGCATCAGCCTCAGATTCAGAGACATCAGATGAGCCACTTTTGTCAGAAAGTCCCGCTCCAAGAAGATCAGGGAGAGAGAGGAAACCACCAACCCGGTATGTAGACTACGTCATGTCGCAGCAGTAGGAAGTAATTTCTACTCCGCAGTTTCCATCAGATTTTATGAGCCTGTCACCAGATCGATTACAGATTGTCCTGAATTCACTACCAGTTTTGTGTAAGAGTTTGTTTCCAGAGGTGTTTTATGAGTAGTTTTGGTTTTAAATGTTAGGGACAACATTTTCCCTAAGGGAGGGAGTATGTAGTAGTGTGGTTTTATTTATTTTATGGGTATTTTAAGATGGTCACAATGCTAATGTTATCTTAGATAATATGTTACACATCACGGCCTCTTTAAAACTATCCTGTTCTATACACTCTTTCTAAAGGTTTCCAGTGAGTTCCAGTTCACCCAGCTCACTGGTAGTTTATTTCAACTTTGACCTGAGGTTTCCTTTGTTTTGCAACACCGTTACTATGGTCATTCTTACTAATGATTTCATGAAGGTCAGAGGATATTTTCATTCTCTGTCATTCATAAGTTTAGTCTTTATTTAGTTTGATAGTTTTGATATTGGTTGAATCTTCTTCAATTTGATATAATCTAGTGCAGTTGTTTTAGTAAAGTTCCAGCATAGAGTTTACAGGTATGTTTTAACTTTTAAAGGTTTTATATTTCATTTGTCTTTGTTAAAGTGGCGGCCATGTTAGTCTTTATTAGTAAAGTTTCAATAGAAGTTTAAGTTCATCTGGTTTTGTTTAATGCATTCTGCAAATACATCTTATATATACATATAGCCAATAAGAGTAACACTATTTAAAGCATTTCGCTTTAAATCTACATTTATTACTTTCACACAACTTATATATT